GTAATTTTTCTTTGAAATAATGATTGGACAATTTAGACCAAACTGTGATACATTATTTTCTCTCCCTTCCAAAACAAACCCCAAAGGAGGAGGGATGAGGGTGGAGGGTAGGGAAGCAACAAAAGATAAAAATTTCCTTCCCCTTCCCACTCTCTTTCTAAACCAAACAACCCTTGCTTTTTTTCCTTTTTCCTTCCTTCTCTCTCTCTTTCTTCCTTTTTTTTTTAAAAAAAAGAACCCAACCAAACACTATTTAAGAGGAAAAATGTATTCAACGTAGTATGTCAAACCAACGGATTAAACTGAAAGACATGACATCCCATTCGTAATGGCTGTGGTGGGTTCGGAACGCAACAGGGTGTTTGGTATAATCAAAAAGTACTTTTAAAAAAGTACTATCATACAAATTAAGATAAAACTTATCTCACATATTTATTTCATATACAATCACGGTTTAGTTTTTAGTGTCTACCCAAACATTCCTTTTTAACAGAATAAATCTACTCTTGAATCTGTCCTCTAACCGGAATAAATCTAGTGATCGATATTTTTAACGGAGATCTTGGGATATAGATCATAAAAAGGCAAGCACATTCAATGCTTATCAAAGAAGTAAACATGTAGTGCTCATCTTGCTCAATTTAAATTGTTTTCGTGTTTTAAAGAATTTTTTATTTAATTATAAAATTATATATATAATTTCATAACGAACACTTCTTAAAAAATAAAGGGAAAATGGCAAATAAAGATCCCCAATATGTGAAATTGTGATTTGGGACCCTTAATTTGAAAAATAGCAAATAAAGACTCAGTCCTATATTGCAAATATGAAATCTTGGTGGAATATCTGAAATGCCCCTCAGCCAAGTTGTGATTTGGTTTGCCGAAGTTGTCATTCGCTAAAGTGAACTTGTCATTTCCCATAGTCAACTTATCATTTGACATACCCTTAGTCAAGTTGTGATTTGGTCTACTGAAATTGTCATTTGCTGAAGTGAACTTGTCATTTTTCATAGTCAACTTGTTACTTGGCTAAGGAGCATTTCAAACATTTCATCAAAACTTCATATTTGCAATATGGGACTGGGTCTTTATTTGTCATTTTTCAAATTGAGGGTCCCAAATCGCAGTTGCACATATTGGGGTCTTTATTTGTCATTTTTCTAAAAATAAATTTATTATTAAAAAATGTTAAATTTTAAATTTTAAATTTAAACTATCCAGACCATATTTTAAATGGTTCAAATTTCATTATAGCAATGAGCAGTGATAAGCACTAAATGAGAACTGCATAAAAAAACGTACTTTTCCTTAAAATTAGTCTAAAGGGGGGACAAGGGTAATATCTAGGGTGTGTTTGGATGAAACCAAACCATGGTTTGAAAAAGTGATTCTGGAGAATAGATTCTGAGAAAAAGTGATTATGAGAAGTGAGAGTGTTTGGATAGTTATTACCAGAAGCACTTTTTACATGTCAAAATTACCAAAAAGGGTATAAGTTAATATGATAATTATGTAAGGAATAGATTTTATGATATATTTTGATTTGAGAAAATAAAATTGTTAATGAAAAAATTTTTAGTAACATAATTAATAATATATAACATAATATAATTAATATATAATTAATATGTGTATATATATTTATAAAACATAATATTAAATATGTTTATAGAAAAATGAATTTTTTTTTGGCTAACAGATAATTAATTAATTTTCTTTAAAGATTTTAAATGTGAAATATATATATTTAGAGTAATTAATTAATTAATTAAAAGAAAAGGGAGCAAAACGGTGCGCACCACCCCCAACCTAATATACTATATTCAATCTTCTTCTTCATCTTGGCGGAGAAGCTAAACACGAGGCGGAGCAGGCTAAGGGAGAACATGCCGAACGAGCAGAGAACGAAACACACACACACGGGGGACGGTGGCTGGGAAAAACAGGGGACCGAAGCACAAACACAAGACGGAGACGCTGCGCGACGATAGAGGGGGAACCTCCCTTCATCACCATCGTCTTCATCCCTTCTTCTTCTCAGCACGACCACAGAACCAGCGACGGCACGAGCTCGATGAACCAGTGAACCAGAAGGAGTGGGCTACAAGAAACTCAAAATAAAAGAACGTGCGACAAGTGGGGTTTCACAAAGAATATTTGACAGAAGCACATACTTCGACGGGAAGAATTTCATACCTGAAGAGCGAAGCGGCGAGCAGAGAAGGTGAGCTTCTTGAGAGTGAATGCCCGAGCAGAGCGAAGAGCGAAGATAGCGGAAATTGCGAGCAAAGCGAAGCGAGCAGAAGAGTGATCGCGACGCGAGCAGAGCACAGTGGAGAGAATGCGCGAGCACAGCAAAGCGGAGAGAATGCGCGAGCAGAGTAGTCCGTTGCCTTCAATTATTGGGTGTCGGCCAACAGATTTCAAGGGTATTTTTGGGTCAAATGCGGTTGCCTTCAGTTATTCAGCCAGAAGCGAGAATTTCTTGCTTATGATGAAACCATGGTTTCATCGGTGGAAACCATGGTTTCAAGCAAGACCACGGTTTATGCAAAATGTCTGCCTGTTTGGATGACATTTTGTGCAAACCATGGTTTGGCCTTCCAAACCATGGTTTCCAGTGTCATCCAAACAGGACCCTAGTCTAGAGATAAGATGTTTAAATATTCCAAAAGTATCCACAAAGGAGCACCTAGTATCCGAAATTTTTTTGCTCTTATATGTCTTGAAAATTTATTTTCGTAGCAAAATTACCTTAGCTATTATTCATAGTTAAGTTTAACTGTTAAATTATACAGTTTGATTGATGTTTTTAATGATCAAACTTAACAGCAGATAACGATTCAAGATATAAATGTTATGAAATAAAACTTCCAGGGCATATGAGAGCCAGAAAAAAAACTTCCAGCTGTTAGGTGCTCCTTTATGGATATTTCCAGGGTATTTAAGCACCTAATCCCTAATATCTACAATAAACATAGCCTTAATGCACCCAAATTCAGAACATCACGAAATGTTAAATGGCCTACCTGATAAAAGAGATGGTCCTGCTGGAAGGATACTATAGACGGACATAGTACAAGCCATTTATAAGAGGCTCAAGGTTTTCAAAGCTGTATATATTGAATTCATCAGTCAAGTGCTGATTTATTACATAGTAATAAACTTATATAGAGAATATGATGATGAAGCATCATTTGCACATTGCCAGCAAAATTGCTTACATAGGCATCATCACTCAAAGCATCCATCCTGGAATAAACCCATTCGCTTGATGACCTTGTGTTGTTGCTGCTATCTGATCTGAACCCTCAGCATTGTACCTGTAATCAAATTCACGCTCATCAACTTATACACATATATTGTCTATCATTTGCATGAGTGGTAATAGGAGCCAACTCGCAATTGGCTTTCAGTCAATCCGAGCCCGCCTATGAAAGGTGGTGAGCCACATTTATTCACCTCTTTTCTTTTGTTTTCTTTTAATTTTTTTTTCATTTTTCCCCTTATGCCATTTACAAAAAACGAAAAAAAAAGGAAAAAGAAATAATTGTTTTTTCTTGAGATACTTGATTGAAAGTACCAAGTAAGTGAGATAAGCATTTTTTAATTTTTCAAATGAGATATGACATATAATAATATTAATAACAACAACAAAGTCTTATCTCACTATGTTGGGTGGCCATTGAGCTCTATCAAAAGACCAAATTGGTAAGAAGTTTTTTCTTGTGTAACTTGATAGGCTGACTCACCCATTACTGGTTAGCTTACAGGAAGCTCAATAAATATCACGTTTGTTTATCCTAAATGATGCAACTTAAAGAAATAAGGATACCATAGTTTAGGCCCAAAAGGTTTATTATTAAATCAAGGATTTAATAAAATAATTGTGATTTATGTTAGGCTAACATAGGAAATCTACAAGTATACAGTTTATGATTGTGTTCTTGAAATATCAGTAAGAATATGCAGGAAGTAGATATGAGATATTATATACCCAATCTGTAATGTGGGATTGCAGTCCAAAGGCTGGAAGAAGCCCTGAGAGTTTGCATTCTGGGAATCATATTGCATGCTTTGATCACCACCTTCCCAAGATTGCCTGTAGTTGTTTCTTGAAGTGATTTCTTCAAGCTGCTCACAACAGTAATGTAATTAACCAACAATAATGTAAGCAGATGCAGAGGAGCTTGGTGCCAAGGCAAGTTTCAGGGTTTCAAGAGACACATGAAACGCATATTTATTGGTATTTCTATTACAGAGGGTAAAAATCATTACAAAAGACGGTGTTGGACTTCAAGAAATGAAACTGATACAAGAAAGTGAATAAAAATGTTTGAAGGTGTTCAGATTAGCTTTTTGGAAGTAGTTTTACAACATATAAGTGAAGTATGTGGAAGAGTTTTGTTTTGACTTATATGAAAATGTTTTCGAAAGGCTAATCCAAACACCTCTAAAGCAAAAAGATGGATTAAATTCTTAGCTGATACATGAATTCTGAATTGTAACGTTTCCAACACAAGGATCCTAGAAGAATACGAAAAAGAGCATGTAAGTTACTAAAAGAAGCCTAGAAATCGCTGTAGGGTTTCAGAGACATCACAGATAATTAGTTGTATAAAGTTTTTGTTATTGTACTTCTCTAGAAACAACACAAAGTAGACCATTTTCAAATACATTACTAGAGGTGGCTTTGCACTTTGGAGAATGTTACAGAGGAATTAATTGTCCGAGTTAACATTAAGAAAACCAAAACCAACCTTTGATCGTACGACATGCAATTAATGAACTTGTTAAAAAGTTACCTTCATAGTCAAAGCTCTGTTTGCATCAACCAGAATCTGTTCCTGTATTAGAATCGCGAGCTTGCAAGTATTAGACACAGAAAATAATATATATAGTTCTATTGTGCCAAACAATTTACCTTATTTTGAAGATCGCTCAGCTGGTCCAGCATGAATTGGGTCTGCAAAGTAATATTCCAGATATTTGTCAGGAACCATTTTAAGCTTATATTGGAAAGTTGAAAGATAAAGACAGAACAAATTATGATTTCAATCTTAGGTGGATTTTCTTGTAGCCAAATCAAGGATATAAAATTCACTAAACTTCCTTTATTTTGAGAACAGTCACAAGCCTTACAATCACACAAAATCAAAATGTAAAAAGTATGTCACAAAGTGATGAGAAATTTAATGGAGAAAACTACACTAACCTTGAGGCTAGCCGGAAAATTTACATTTCACATGAGGACGTACAAATTCATTACCTTGATGGACCTCACTTGCTTTAGAGATGAATCAAGCTGGCGCTCAAGCTGCTCTAGTTCCTTTGAGTTCAATGGACCCAAGTCTTCTCCTAGAAGGTTTCTACAATGACACCCCAAAAAGAACAATGGCATGGCTTTAACATTCATCAGCTATTAAATAACTTTCTTCATTTCAAAACAATTGTCACCTTCTAGCTGTGCACACAGATTAAAAAAGCTATTAAACAGTCTAAATTTTGACAAAATTTAATGATGATATTTAACTAAAGTATTCTTATTAGAAATACTTCTTTTTCATTGATAAGCGCTTGTTGAAAGGTAAAATTGTTAATACAACACTTGCTTCTTTTTTTTTTGGGGGAAATCTGAAGTGTTAATTATTTAGAAATAAAGTCAAACTTCTAGTAGAGAGAACCCCAACTCCTTTAAAAAGCATGAAAAATTTGAATAGAGTAAATAAGCCTAAGGAATCAAGCCATAATGTTTATAGTTTGAAAATTATACATTTTCTTATAAATTTGATGTATGTAAGAAGTTATTACATCCGAAAATATAGAAAAAGCTGCATACTAGCCAAATTTACTGTTAAAAATGGAAGCAGAAAAGACGAAACCAGGCTGTTCTGATTTATTGAGTTGTATCTTAACGATGAAGAGCTTAAAATATTATGATATAATTATCACCTTTGGGTCCTCTGGAGAGATTCCAGTCTTGCTTTCAGCTTCAAGTACTCGCGGTAACTGGTCTGTTATGAGCAAGAAGATGAAAGTTTACTAACAAAGCAAAAGTTGGTATGATAATACATTTCTTAGGAAGACGTAAATTAATCTGCAAAAAGTTATAGCAGTGATAAGAATTTTACAATTGAGGTAACTAAAAACATGATAAAGCTTTTCAAAATTAAATTGTATTGACCGAAAGTGATCAATATTACAAGAGACAGAGCAAGAACTAAGAAATGTAAGTAAGAGACCTCAAGCTCCTTGGCTGGTTTGCTCACTTCCACAGAGCCATAACTGCACTTTTGGTATCTTTCAAGTGTTTTGAGCATGCTGATATATTTCAGACACATAAAAGAAAACACATCAAATAATATATTGATGATGGTGAATTACTTAGTAGTGGTACAACCATAATGCAGTACCAAAATAATAAACTCTTCTGATCTTATTTATAAGTCACTTTCAACATGTTTCATACAAACTAATAAAAACTTTAAACTTCATTAATTCTCATTTAAAATTCAACAATTTCTTAATTTTATTCCTATTTAATATACAATATATCATATGAGAACAAAACTAACACAATAATGAATGAAAGGTAAAATTATATATTCATGTGAAAATTTTCTCTCCTTGTCCTATAAATAGAATAAAAATTTTTCTTCTCTCTCTGTCATATAATAGGACTAGAGGAGTAGACATTGAGTGACCAAAATGTCCTCCTCATCCTTGTGTTAAATCAGTGTGCTTGGGATTTTTGGGCTGGTAGATGTGTGCTCTATTGTAATTTGAATTGTGTGATATTAAATTCTGTTAAATTTAAAAATTAAGGAATATGATTGGTTAGCATTCAATTTTGTTCAATTAAAGTCTTTTTTTAAATATAACTTAACTCTCTTCTCCATGTTATCATGTAACAAATATTCTGTTTGTGTGTCGAAACCTTGTGAAATACATAGAATATCCTTCATTACGATTTACAACTCTGTTTGAAGAACTCCTTTCACTACTCTCTTAAGGTCTAGTACTGCTTGTTACCAATACAAATGAGATTTGAAACTTAATCTAACTAAAAAAACCAGGTAACACTGTAACTCTGGGCATGTTTGAATTTATTTTGTGTTTTTTTTTTCCTCAAAACGATTTTATAAAATTGTTTTGTAAAACAAGTTTCAAAAACAAAAAATAAAAAATATCTGTTTCGATAATTGTTTTAAAAAATTATATTTGAAAATAAACATACAGAGACTAGAGGGTGAAATTTCAATTAGAACTCGAGTTCTCAAATGAAGAAAAAGTCACCAAGTAAAAAAGAAAGGGTGTCTCAATTTTCTCAAACAAAAAATGAGAAATATTTTAAAAAAAACAAGAAAACAACTAAAAATTGTTTTGGTTTTTTAGTTTTTAAAAACAGATTTTTGTTTTTAAAAATAAATTACCAAACAAAGTTTTTTATTTTTTTTTTTTTTAAAAATTAAAAACTGCTTTTAAAATAAGAAACCAAACAAGGCCTCTGTTTCTTTCTTCTTCTTCTTTTTCTCCTTTTCTGGCTCTAGCTAAAAGGAAAGCATTTTTCAGATTTAACAGGAAAGTATTCAAAATCAATTTTAATAGTCTAGATATAAAATTTTTAACTAGTGATTTTTAAATAAAACGTTTATTTTTTAAAAAAAAAACTTGCAATTAAGAGATCATATTTATTTTGGATCATGTACCAGTTAAAAGGAAACCATTTTTTAGAAAACAAAAACATTAAATATTAAATCTCATCCGTCTATATTAAATTTGAATGATTAAAATTTGATAAGTATCATGATGCTCATCACTATGATGAGTACTGAAACTAATTCCCTAAGACAATGAGAGTTAGACCAAGGAAAAAAAAAAAGAAGCCAAAGATCTCTATTAATGAGATTAATGATGTTTGTGTTTTTGTCGCTCAAAATAATAAATACAAAGCAACAATATCTTCATTTAATATGTTTAAAATCTAATAAACAGATAGTTTTTCATTTTCTTTTACATCTTTAGTGAAACGAGCAGGGCTAAACAAATTATTTCTCCGTTTTTAGGGAGATTCCCCAAAAAAAAAAAATCTTTAAATTTTAAAATTTCAAATCAATCTTGGTTACTATACTCCAATAACGAAAAGCAAATGACAACACATTTTTATAGTTATTCCTAATTTGAGATTTTGAAATCTGAAAGATATATATATATATATATATATATATTGAGATTTCCCCCTTTTTTATGTCAAAAAACAAAGTAATTAAAATATGAAAAAGTACGGTACAATGTGTTTCAGGAATAGTAGATTAATATATACTCTTCCAGTCTTAAATATAAGACTAAATATAATACCTATTTTGTGATGCAAATTATACTACAAAATAGGTTTTACATTTAGAACAGGAACAATATCATATCATATTACATCAAGTGTTTTATTAACCATGTCCACATGTACCACATAATATATCGTGGCCTTCCCCCACCCCGGGACAAAAAACGGACACACACACAAACACACTACTTTAAATCAAATTTCATTATTTAAAAAATATATTCATTTACGTTGCATTTTTACTATATTTTTGTTTTATTCATGCGTATTACCATTGTCATTATCTTTTTTATGCTATTATTTTAGTTTTTTCTCTCAAGTACATTCCACAAAACTTTTAAATAATTATGTGCGTATGCATGGAATCACGGACAATGCACTCTAGTTCTCTATAAATGTATAAATTATGTGTACATTTTTGTCAATGCAAAATGCTAAATTTCACATGAGTTTACATATCACTTATACTTCTTTTCTCTGAAAGTTAAAATATACAGATTTTCTAATTTACTACTTTTGGTCCTTAATATAAGACCCTGTTTGATTTTTATTTTGGTCCTAAATATAAGATCCCAATTCATTTTGTCTTTCATATTCGTATATTTTTTGTCAAAGTAGCCCTTCTAATAATAAGAGTTCTAGTCAATACATTTGATTAGCAAGGATAGTTTAGGAAAGACAACACCTATTTAGGACAAATAGCTAACTCAACTTCTTTAATTTCCTCAAATTAGTCAATTAGCTCTTATAATTAGGACTGGAGGTAGTATTTATTATGGTTCCAAACACAAACTGAATTATAGTGATACATATTTGAGCAAGAAAGTTAACAGAAAAACCAACTGATGAGTTTTTAGGCATAAAATAAATAAACACAAGAACAAGGACATCACACAAAAGTAATATCATCCTAAATATAAGACTTATTTTATAATATAAATTACACTGTAAAATAAGTTTTATGTTTAGGATAGAAGGAATAATAAAATTAGAAACAAAACACAAAAGAGGAAAAGAAAAAATTAAATGAGAATGAGAGAGAAATCCAGAGAAAAATCCTGTCAATCATCTAGACAAAGTACGAACCAGTTATCAAAGGACGAGATATTGATCAGATCATGTACTACATATTAACAGATCTCATAGATATAACAGAAACGAAGAGAAGTTACATGAGATCAAATCAAATCTAAAACTAAATAAGTTACTTCACTTGAGCACGTGATGAATATGACTGAAGCACCAGCAGAAGCCAGAAAACAAGGGAAATAGTACCAGAAAGAGAGAGAAGGCGATAGATCTGATAGATCAACAAAAAAAATATGACAACAAAAGAAAAGAGAAATAAAAATAGAATGAGGAAATTGAGGGAGGTACGAACCTAGAGGTGCTACAGAACTCATAAAGCTTGCCACGGTTGGAGAAGACGATGAGGGCAACTTCTGCATCACAGAGAACAGAAAGCTCATAGGCTTTCTTGAGAAGGCCATTTCTTCTCTTAGCGAATGTGACTTGCCTGTTTATCTTGTTCTCTATCCTCTTCAGCTCCACTCTTCCCCTCCCCATATCGCCTTATTATTATTATTATCTTTTCTATTTCTGTACAATCTCTTTTCTTCCTTCACTTTCTCTCTCTGCTTTCTTCTTCTTCTTCCTCACTGATCTCTTCCAACGGGGGTAACCAGCTGGTTCTTCTTTTCTGGGTTAGTAACCAAATGGAACCAAATTTGTGAAATGGTGAGAAAGTTGGCAACTTTGAAAGCCCTGGAGAGAAGGGCCAAAAAGCAGAAAGAACAAGAGGGAAAAAGAGAGTTAGAGAGAGAGATTGATTACTCTTTCTCTTTTCTATAGTCTTCTGATTTATCTTCTGGTGGTCCTGCAATCGCCACAAGAAAAGAAAATGGGATGGAGGTTCGGGTTGGTGTTCTTTCCAGTTTCATACAACATTCCTTTTCCCATGACGGTCTATGTTAAGGTATTTTTGGCAAGAAATCTTTTGCCCAGTCTCACTGGAGTGCGTGCTTCGCACGATCCCGTGTGTGAATGTTGAATTTTCGCAATTGCGGGTTGGCGCGTAAGTACAGCTGTCAAGAGCATTATTATCAGTGATATTTTCGTTTTTCCTCGTGTAAGTAATCTGAGTCATTCTTCAGTGTCTCGTGAGAACTGAGAAGTATCAGAACGTCGTCCTTTATCTTAAAATGGACCCCCACGTGTCATGTTGTCACTGGCACTAAATTTCTATCATACATAAAAAATATATTTAAATTTTGAAGAGAAGTATTTACATTTGATGTGTAATAAGTCTCTAATTAATATAAGAATATATATGCATTAACATAAAATTAATTTATGGTAATTTTCAGAAAATCCTTTGTTTTCACCAACTTGTTTCCAAAAATATATATACATCGAGGCACCATTATTTTAATCCTGGTAATATTGTTTTTAATTTTTAATATAAGATTGAGTTGTATATTGAGTTTAGTTATAAATATAAGGTTTCAAACTATTTATTCTTTTATATTTATCAGTTTCTTTCTAAATTATACCTATTGATTTCATATATTAAAAGAATTTGCATTAAAGGTTAATTTCAATACAAATGGTTTAAAAGGGTATTTTAGAAAAATCAAGACATATTTTTGACAAATAAATAATGTAATTATTTTTCTTAATGTACTCAAATTATATTAAGAAGATGTTATATTAAGAATCAGAGTTGCATAATACTACCTCCGGTTCTAAATACAAGAACTAATTGAAAATTCAATTTGGTCATAAATATATAAGAACCCAATCCACATATTGTCTCTCATATTTCTTCAATTTTTTAAAAATCTTTTCATTCTAATGCACATGATTAACAAAGATATTTTAAGGAAGCCAACACATATTTATTATAAATAACTAACTTAACTAATTTTATTAACATTCACAAATTAGTTATCTAGATATCATATTAAGGATAAGAGGTTGTATTATTTTAATTTGAGAGTAGGATTTGTGTTGAACATTAATCTAGTTATTCAACCATCAAACCGTCACTTGCACTAAGGCATTATTTTTCTAATCCGATTGATTTTGAACTTAACAAAATTAAATAGTTCTCAGGTACTCACACATTATATTTTATAACTTCAAAAAAATAGAGTTTTGTGTGTATATAACAACGTACTCAAAGAATATAATAAACAACAAAGCTTACGTATTAGTAACATCTGCCTAATCAAAATTACGGTAATCAAAGTCTTGCAAATGATTTAATCTAGCCAAAACCCCCCCCCCCCAAAAAAATCAGTTCCCCTTTTGTGTCTCTATATACAAAATAATTAGACTCAACATTGACTTCTATGCAAAGATGTCTAGTTATACACACTTACACCAATCATATGTCCTTTTTGTCCTTCATAATTCTAGACCTATGAAAGCACCTAAAATTTCAGAGATAACAAGAGGTTTTGCTTACAATTGACTAATTTTTCAACTAGAAGATATCTTGGCCTTAATTGACACTACACGTGTAAATAGGTCCGGCCAATTTTGTAGCAGTCGATCTGAGCCTGACCTATGGTGTAAAGTTCCTTTCTAAAACTGAAAATTTGCTCACTTCAAAGTCGTTTAAGACTTTGCTATGGTAGAAAAAGAAAATGGTTATATAAGGCTACTATAGTAGAAAGGTTTTAACTCATCTTTCAAAAGCATTCTTGAATAAAAGGATTTCGAATAATTAGAACAAGCGTAACCACGTTAGAGAGGAATCAAACCCACTAACATGGCTATAGGGAAACAGGGCCCTGATCAACACGATTATCAAGTAGCCTCCGAGTGTTAAGCTTAGAACTAAAAACAACACCAAGCCTACCAACATCAATGGAATACTGAATACTACACATCATGTATCATAAACAATCAAGGTGGATCCACAAAAGTTGTATGCATCACCCTAAGGCTTTCGACCTACTGCCAGCACTCAACCACAATCCGGTAATCAAAATACAAGTAAACAACTCTCTAATCAATAGACAATATGCAAAAGAAAAGGAACCCTAGGTGACAATATACAATCCATCATCACATGCAAAAAGCACAGAGGCAGTACAAATATCTATATAAGTGTAGTCCTCTGGATTCTGTAACATCTCAAATTTTAGGCATAGAAGTATCAAAATTAGTCTGAAATGGATAGACTACCAAACCCCTTTTGGTAGAAGTCACAGAGGTTCCCTGAAGGGATAAAAAGATTCCCAAGGATTAAATCGAAAAAGGAAAGTTTTCAAGGACTAAGAAAAGAGGAAGTTAGAGACTGGGGTGAAGTCTTGAGGCCCAGGAATGAGAAATAGAAATGAATGTAGGCCAAAGGTTATATTAGAAACCTCAATGAGGTGAAGTATGGGGTTAAGCCAAACCATGGGCAAAATCGTAATTTTGTAAAGTTTCGGGCCGTTGAGAGCAACAATGAAAATTATACCTACAAATTCCAAAAAAATCCCAAAAAAAAAGGGAAATGACATGTTAAGGCCTGTATGTGAAGAAAAATAACAAAAATTTCCTTGGGTTGACTTTAAATGAATTTTAAAGATTATAACTCATTTTGAGATATAAAATTAGATTCAATTATTTGACCCATAAGGACGCCTCAGAAATGTAAGAAAACATAGGGATTCATGAGTTAAGAGATTGTAGAAAATTATAAAATTAGTATCATCCCTAGAAGGCCAGAAAATGGATTTAAGAATATTTAAAGTCCAGTTATGCCAAAAAAAGGGCGTTTTGTAGGAAATTCAAAAAGAAATATTTACGAATTGAGTTATGGCCCGAAAAAATTAATAGATTTTTTTTCAAAATCAAAGGAATCTTATGGTATGAATGGATGAATTTTTGGAACTCTGGATTGAATAAAATGCTCTAGTCAAATATTAAATAATTTGTGTCCCCTAAATAAGAGACAAGATTAAAGAAAATATCTAAAGGCAATTATGAAGGTGCTGAGTCAGCGTGCTGATTCACTAAGGTGCAATTATGACACTGCTGAGTTATCTAATGAGTCACCAAGAGATAATTATACATAGTAGAAAAATCAGAATGCAAGATGGGTATATTTTAGATAGTCCTCTGTCTACCTAATATAGCAAAATTTCTACTGCGTGACTTAGTGAAGCCAAGTAGTCTCTCAGTGGAGCTAATTATTTTCTTCTATGCTTCTATAAGATGGTGCCATATGCAGACTTATTTTGGATGAGAAAATGATGCCAGAACATGTTCCAATGGTCCCGAGTAAGTCAGGACTCGAATAAGTACCCGATGCGATACAAAATGGCAAGATAGGTGGAAGAATACCTAGAGGCTGTATTTTTCACAAATTTTATATTAATTTCCTCCCTATTCTAATGTCATAACAGTGAAGGGACATACAAGAGAGATGTGTACAGTTGGATGAACAACACGTGTATGGTTAGATGAATGACACGTGTACGGTTCATGTACGGTTAGATTAAGGACATGTGGCTTAATGATGTAAGCATAAGGTACGCAAGATGATGTAAGCACGATGTCATGAGGACACATGTCATCATAAGACAAGGAGACAAAATGAATGACTAAGATTTAATCTTACAATTTCAAGATTAATGGTTAGAATTTGTTCATAAAGTCTATAAATACCCCTCCCCTCCCCTCATTTTCATCTAAGCTAATGAAAACCATGGGAAAATTCTTGTAAAATGAATTTTAGGGAGAGAAAGAGGAAGGAGAAGAGAAACACCAAGTGACTCCATGCAAGATCAAGCTCTAAAACAAGGTATGTTCATGGTTTTTGATGTAGTTTTCACTACCCTTGTTATTGTTGAGCTTCGTTATGGGTTTTAATGGTTTTTGGGAGCTTGAAACCCTTAGAGGGTATGCTACATGAAATTCCTAAGTATAGAGGAAGATGAAATTGATGTTAGAATAATGTTTAAAGGCTTGAAAGGAACAAGAATCAAGTGGTTTTATATTGAAATTGGTTAAATTTCATGGTTGTGTAACTTGAGGAGATTGTTTGGCCAAGCTGAATTCCATGTCTTAGGGTTGGATTTTGATGATTTTGATGCTTCCAATGAGTTTAGAATGAAAAATTGTGTAGGGTAAAGGTAAGAAAACAAATTTGGAAGCATTAGAATTAAAAATGAAAATTTTAGACCTTAAGTTTATCTATTTGGCCAAGGCTAGAAATAGGGGAAAGAGTTGGATTTTGATAAATTCAATCTCATATTTGGATTCATCATGGAAAATTGTGTGGGAAATGACTAAGAGAATGATTTTAAAGGCTATGGAAAAGAAAATGAAATTTAAGGTTAAAGAGGAATAAGTTTGAGAGTTAAGAGGATTAATGGTTTTTTATGGTCTTGATGGATTGGTTATTAATGTATATTGTGAATCTAGGGCCACGAGACACCAAGAAAGAGGAATGACAAGATTGTTCAAGCAATCTTGATGGTTTGGAAGTAAAGGGAGTAAGAAGAAAGCTTAAAGATAAAAGGTAGTGAATTTACCTCTCTTGGGTAATTGATGTGCATGCTTGTGTGTTGTTGTGTATTATATTGTTTGAAATGATATGAGATGCAAATGCTAGTAAGGTGCTCTGTTTCTTTGATGTTTTCTATGGCCATGCATGTTAATGTGAAACATTGAGCATGAGATATGTTATAAGTAAACAT